GTGTATAAACTGAATAATAGATGCAACTGACCGACCAATCACCAAACAGGCACCAAATAAGGCGATGTGATTGGTTAGTGATCACGATGTGCATCTGCTTTTAACATCATGATTTCGGGGCCAAATGGGTACCCGTGAAGTTTGTGCATTATACAATTACTTGTAGTAACTGAAATTTCGACCATTTTGTCGAGGGACTGTTGTTATCTAACTATACTGTGATAACTGAAATTCATGCATATCTGAACCATGCAAAATGAGGACTGGTTGTATTTAGAGAATTGGTTTTCCCATTGATTTGATTTGGCCTAAATTTAGTCATTGGGTGTTTTCTCTCTGTTTTAAAGGATTTTACTAAACTTCTAAGCACAGGGCTTGCTGTTCTCTTCAGAATGTAGAGGAAATAAATCTCAGGTAAAACACCGTTACGTAGGAGATAGAAATATTCAACTTTCTATAAAACTTATTTTCTATTTAAACGCTTATTTCACCAAGTGGCAAAATCTAATATTATTCAGTACAGAATTTCCTTTAAAGTACCTGTCTAGAGCATGTGCCTGAATTCAAGAGGCTTATATAATGCCAGGTTGTGGTAGGGTAGTAGGGTGAGTAAATTTCTGAACTCCAGTCATCAGCTTCCCTCAACACCAGCATGCATTCTCTCAACACCAGCAGGTGTTGCAATGAGCTACCATCTTCCTGCCTGAACTTTGCTGTCATAGAGTCACAAGGTCTTCCTCTCCTGATCTTGACGCCCATCGGGTGCCCTGGTTCTTTGGGCAGGTCTAACAGCTTTCTGTAACCTAGAAAAACATTCTGTGGATCTACAAGCTAGGCTTGGATGCTCAAGGTCTCTTTAGGAATCTCAAGTTCAATGTCCCATTCAAAAGGTGCTCTTATCTCTCCCTATCAAAGCAGAGTTTGTTCCCTTTCTGAGCCCTTCCTGAAAGAGGACACAGGCTTCTTCTTGGATTTCCAAACCAATCTGGGTATTCTATCAATTCTTTCAACTCTATACTGGAACACAATCCAAGAATCCTCTTCTTAAGACCCACAAATACCCCTTTAGCTTCAGCTTGATTGATTACCTTCTCTTTTATACATGGTCCCTCCCCTACCAGCAAACATTACAAGAGTGGGTGGATTCTGGCTCTGACAATGAAGTATCGTTCTACCCTCCCAAATCATCTTACCATATGCCTAGATCTTTCCAAAACTCAAAATTCAAGATTTTGGCTCACTTCTCATGTCTACCATCAGGGGTTCCACTACAGTGACCCCTTCTCAAGCAGCAGATGTTTCAAGAATGTAGCTTAAGCGGAGAAAGGGCCATGGAATAAAAATAAATAGGAAAAAAAATGAGCTAATGTATTTCTTAAATTTTATCCCATAGCAAATGAAAAAGAAACAAAGTGTGGGGTGGTGATTATGAACTTGAGCAAAGGTCTGACTGCTTCCTAAGTCTAAATCCAGAATTTACGCTGATATATTACTTTATTTCTTTGAGTCTCAGTTTCATCATCTGTTAAACTGTCATTATAATGGTTCTGACCTCAAAATTTTTGTGGAAATTAAACTTTGCCAAAAAAAGCATTTAGCATAGTTCCTGGCAAGTAGGAACTGTTCAATAAATGTTAGCCTTTGTTACTAAGGGAAACAGTCATTAGTGGATGCTGAAAACTCAAAATTTTGAGGCTACATATCCCCCCAAATACCCTTAGAATTATGCCACTTATATGCCACTTATGTGGTTGCCAAAAAGTTTGCAAAAGACAGTTATCCCACAATTCTGTTTTAAGCTAAAGAACTAAACTTTGCTTAGAATTTTCTTTACACAAAATTAAACGATGGGTAGTTGCTGCTTTTTAAGAAGGATTCTGCAATTACACATTGCATGCATCCTGTGATCTAGGATAGGATAATAAGTTTTATGAATTTCAGTAAAAAGCATTTTTCTTTATCATCAACAGAGTCAAACATTTAGAAGGCTGCCAACAGGGTCCAATCATGCAAAATCCTATTAGCTAATCCATGCCATTAATTCATATGAACTAATAGATTGAGAGTGAAGGGTCAAGAATCACAAATATTCACATTTGCCCCTCCTACATTTGAATGATTAATATGCCTATGACCCTGAGAAACATTCATAATTGTCACTGCCTTCCATCGTTTCCATGTTGTGCCTGGAACTGCTTCCCAGAAGTGTGTGTGTGTGTGTGTGTGTGTACACAAAGGTTGAGGGCAAGAGAAATAAATGGTTTTTATTGAAGCATTAAACGGGGTATTGATAGCTTTCCTTAGCTTTCCTTACAGTAGCTGCACATCTGTATACAAAATAAAATCAAATACATAAATGAATAATCGTCTCCTCAGCAACTGCACCCACTGAGAAAAGTAACACCTGTTAAAGCTCAATACAGGGGCAACACAGTTAGAGAGGCACGAAGTCAGGACAAGCCCAACAATTAAATCATAGACTCAAATCTCTCCTGCAGTGGGAAGAACCATCCTCTTAGCTCCTGCCTGTTATTTCCAACTTTGTACATCTGTTTCTCTACCAGCTTGACCTCTCCCCCTTCTTCTGATGGCAGCATCTCAATTTTGCCTTGGGGAACTACTACTCCTCCAAAGAATGAATTTGGTGAAGAAAGCATCTCCCTCCATCTTCAACTAAAAACACTCAGAATCTCTCTTTTACAGGAATTTAGTCTTAAGCAGGAGAGTGTCCCAGAGAGCTCCTCACCCCTTACACCATGTGAGCACACAGCAAGATGGCTGTCCACTAACCAAGAAACCGACACTCACCAGACACTAAATCTTGAACTTCCCAGCCTCCAGAGCTGTGAGAAATAAATGTTTGTTGTTTAAACCATGCAGTCTACAGTATTTTTGCTATAGCAGGCTGAAATGATAATACCAAACAGTTCTTAATCTAATATTATACTTCCTTACCAAAAACACGGGTTTTTCTCCACATTAAAACAAACAAACAAACAAAAATAATAATAACAGAAAACACGACTTGTCTAGAGATTCATGGTTAGTGAGAACTTGGTCAACCATCTTGGACTGAGGAGTTGCCACGGCAGTTTTTAACCCATACTCACTCATTTGAAGGAAAGGCAGGACTTGAGTGTCCCTGAGGCTTGTCTTAGCTTCCTAGACAGACGTCCCTCTGTGCCTCTTTGGCACAGACACACTTCTTCATTTCTTTCACACAGTTGACTACCAGCAGCTCCCTTTCAGTTGGCCAAAGAACACTGTGAGGCAACCTTCCACCAACCCCCTGCAAAGCAGCCCAGGACACTGTGAGAAACCGGAGCAACCTCTTTCAAATAACAAAAAGAGCTTGAACAATAATTTTTTTAATCATTCATTCCAGAATCCTTTGAAGCTATAAAAGTTACTATTATTCCCATTAGACTTTTAAAGGGGCTACACTTTTTCCCCAAACTTTTAACAAAACTGAACCATGCAAAAAACTTGTTTCGTTTTGTTCTGTTCTGTTCTGTTCCGTTTTTAAAGAGAGTTATGTAGTAGTTTTCTCACATTTTCCAAGGTACTGCCTTTGGTAATTAATTCTGATATTTAACAATCCTCAGCTTGATTTCTTTCTTTAATATGAAGGACAGTGTAGGCCAGTATTTAACTAGCTTTTTGAACTACAACCGCCCCAGATCCTGCTGAGTGAGAAGGGAGATTCCACACCAATGTACTTTTTTAGTGACAGGCATAATGCTACCCCTTGTAATGCAGAGACCTCAGACTTTCATTCAGAATTGTTCCCTAAGGCAAATGACCATTCGTGTACCAATTTGGAATTCAGCAATCAAATTCCATTTTGGACACCTCCTATATAATTGCCTTATTTTAGCCACTCTCATGAATATAATAACAATAGAGGCTAATGTTTACTGATAACACTGTAGTGATACCACCAAATTTCAGGACTGGTATCTATTTTCCTGTGAAGACCACATCTTTCTCTCTCTGAGCTCCGAACGTCCTTGGATCACAAGCTTTTACAGACTGCGTTGTCTTCCCATTCTTTGTAGAAGAAACAACAAGATACAGAAATGGCAAAGGCAAAATAATAGTAATAATAATGGTGAATAATGAACCATGAACGAAAGGAACCACGATGCAGAAGAGCTGACTCAAACCCATCTGCTGTCCAAAGATATCAAGAAATACTGCCCCAAGTGTTTATTCTGAGACTCACATTTACTTATGTGATCATATATTTCATCATCCCTTTTGACTGACTTCAGTTACTCCCCACTTTTTGTGTACAGAAAACTCTGTAGCATCTCTAAGATGGGTAGAAGTCACAAAGAGGATAGGAAGTCCACAGTCTTGTTACTCAAAGTGGGTCCAGGATCAGCAGCATTAGCATCACCTGAGACCTATCAGAAATGCAGAATCTCTTGGAGCCTGGGTGGCTCGGTTGGTTAAGCATCCGCCTCTTGCTTTCAGCTCAGGTCTTGATCTCATGGTTCATGGGTTCAAGCCCCACATTGGGCTCCACACTGACCGCGTGGAGCCTGCTCGGGATTCTCTCTCTCTCCTTCTCTCTCTGCCCCTCCCCTGCTCTCTCTCTTTCTCTCAAAAGAAATAAAAAAACTTAAAAAAAAAAAAAAGAAATGCAGAATCTTAGGCTCTCCCTCACACCTAGTAAATCAGAATCTGCATTGCGATAATCGCCACTGGCTAAATTCCTCCATACATTAAAAGCCTGAAAAGCTCTGGACTATAGTATTTGATAACTGGAAAGAGTTTTCAAAGCTACCTGGAGTTTCTGGTTGTAATTTCTAGAATATGGGAGAATTTATAATGCATGTGCACGTCTTCCTTGCAGTATAACACGAAACCCTTCTGATTTGTGACTGAAATAAGAAGACATCTTATAAGATCTGTCTCTACTGATATGAATTGCCCCACAGTGAAATTTTTCAACCATATATGCATCCACTGAAAGAAAAGAATTTATGTGCATATCAAATTTAAAATAGTTACATTTATTTTAATAACACTTAACATGAACATGAATTATGCAACCACATTAAGGAAAGAATAAGAAAAATAAAACCGGTTCCTGTAAAATAACTTTGTCCCCCAAATGTGCCCAAAACAAAATCTTGGACCAACATTACTTTTCTTTGTCTCTTTTCCAAAATATTCCATTAAATAGATTTAACTTTGTCTTTCAGGCAAACTGCCCTTGGCAAGAATTATTTTGTGATACACTTAGATCCATATGGCTCATTCCATTATAAAATGACCATGAACATTGAAAGGAAAGAACACAGATTTCTTCTAAAGAATTTATTTGAGGTGCCAAAATAGACTAAAATGAGGCTTTTGCAAGGGTTAAACTTACATTCCATGTCGTCCAAAAATCTAATGAAATTTGGGCCTTCTGGGAAGGATGGAGAAAATTTTATAGAAAATGAAGACTCCAAGGAAAACAATCTCCACAGATAGTTCAAGACGAATGAGAACCTATCTATAGCATTCAGGATTTAGGTTAAAAATAAGGAAAAGTTTCCTGACAATTAAGATTATTAAATGCATAAATTATCATTAAATGGAAAGTCAAGAGGACGCACTTTTAACAAAGCTTGCCACCATGAAATCACAGAATTGATTTATTCTTATTAAGGCTCTTGTTTTAACAATAATTTGTGTTGTTGATATTATTATTATTATTATCATTATTATTACATCAGTGCCAATTGAGCACTAAAAACATACCAGGCACTGTTTTGTACTTTACATGCATTGTAGGTGCTACTTTTTTTTGTTGTTATTATAAATTATTTTTCTTATTGACGTATAATTGACATACAACATTTAAGTTTCAGGTGTACAACTGTAGATGCTACTATTATACTCATTTTACAGCTGAAAATAATTGAATATTCCCAGTTAAATAAACTTATCCAAGGCCACAAAGGCAGTGTATGGTAGGATTAGGATTCCTACCCAGGCAGCTTCTCCCCAGAGTCAGCGCTCTGAACCACGAACCATACTACTCTCCCTTCCGATAGTCCTACATCATGACAAGCCAGACTCGGACTCTAAAGTTGGGTTTACTTGGTTTGTTGTGACAAATGGACTTAAAGGGAAACTGTAGTCAATATGGGGAAAGGCACTAAGGAGTATTAAGATAACATCTAGTTAACCAGGTGGCTAAAATATCGAAATTTATTCCTTGTCTATTCAGTGTGTCATCGGGCACCAGGCATCGCCCACCAAGCTGAGAACTGATTTAGGCTGCCTCTGGATTTCCATATGCCATCCAAATGGCCCTCACTGTATCAACACCCGGAAACAATGCAGTTCTGGAGACATTCTGCCCCTCACTCTCCATTGCATGAACCAACCATGACGTGTCAACATGTACATGTACAACTAGAACAAACAGATTCTATCTCTTAATTACACACAAACCAAATCACAAAAATTTTCTTTGGAAGGTACCTTCAAAGAGCCTGGAACTGAATTGATACTATCATATAAATACAGTGGATGTAATGTCCTTAGTATCTACCTAGATGAAATAAGGTCACATGTGGAAGGCCCAGCCATTGTGCAGACCATCAGAGGTACCCAGCAAATGTCACTTCTTTCCTTTGCCCCTCCCTGATCACATGGCTCTCACATATTTTATTTTACTTCTGAATTGGAGAGTGGAAAGGCATGGTCCTTTTAGAAAAAGCCAGGTGATAGCCCACTGTGAAGGAAACAGATTGGCATTAGGAGTGACAGGGCAGGAATGGAGATATTTATAAGGTGCCTCCATTTTATAAAAGGCAGCTTAATTCCACAAGAGAAAAGGAAGGTGAGTATACATCCACACTTAACACAATATAGCAGAAAAGATCAGAGACCTATGCAAAAATTTGACACCTATTATAAAACCACCTTGTGCAGGAAGAAACCATGAGTTGTTTGAAAATACCGAGCTTTACTGAATTATTACCAAACTGACCAAAAGCCATAAAAATACCAGAATGACCTTGGGGCGCCTGGGTGGCTCAGTCGGTTAAGCGTCCGACTTCGGCTCAGGTCATGATCTCACGGTTCGTGAGTTCAAGCCCCGCGTCAGGCTCTATGCTGATGGCTCAGAGCCTGGAGCCTGTTTCAGATTCTGTGTCTCCCTCTCTCCCTGACCCTCCCCCGTTCATGCTGTCTCTCTCTGTCTCAAAAATAAATAAACATTAAAAAAAATTAAAAAAAAAAATACCAGAATGACCAAGTACCAGAAAATGACCCAACTGTACACAGAAAGGTCCAAATAAGCTGATTAAAGATGGTTCAGATAACATTCTACTTTTGTCCGAAGCTACGTTATTTGTCCTTAGAGGTTTCAAAATCGATTCCTTGGTTACTGGAGAAACTTAATTTATGCATGAATGTTTTCATTATATTTTATTTTATAAAAGTCTTCCAGTAATAAGTGAGATGCCCTGTTTTTCTCAGTGACCCTACTAGAAGCAACTCTAATGTCTATGCTTCTGTGATCTAGTACATCAGAAGGCAAACAATCTAAAAAGAATGAGAAGTTCTCTCTAGCAAAGTGTTTTTCGCATTTTTGAAACTCATGTCCTCTTTTGAAAGTTACCAAAATCTCATGCTTTCTTTTAATGTTATTTAAAATTCAGAACAAAATGAATTTTGTTATTCTCACTGAATCAAAGCAATGGAACAAAGTGATATTTTGTTTTCAAACCACACGGTCCCCTGCCTCCACTACGATACTGGAGGTGGTAGTGAAGGGGAAAAATGCCCCCCCCCCCCACCAACTCACTTCTGTTTGAAGATTCATTGCTCTCATACTCATCCTCAAACACTGCTGGCTCTTACATAAGAAAAATATTCTCATTGACCAAATCTCAAAGTTCCAATCTGGCTCACTCTGAATGAATACCCATGGTCTTTAAAGAAGCCTAATTAAAGTACTAAGAGAAATATCTTAAATAATTAAATCTTAGCAATTGCACATGAAACTTTTGCAAGGTATCTGTTAACATTCTAGCTTTTACGAAGCTAGCTCTTACATGTTGCTGTAACATTTTTTTTTTTTGCTGTTTCAAGTTTTTATTTAAATTCTTGTTAGTTAACATATAGGGTAATATTGGTTTCAGGAGTAGAATTTAGTGATTCATTACTTACATATAACACCCAGTGCTGAACACAACAAGGGCCCTCCTTAATGTCCATCAGCCGTTTAGCCCATTCCCCACCGACCTCCCTTCATCAACCCTCTGTTCTTTATAGTTAAGCGTCTTTTATGGTTTCTCTCCCTCTTTTTTTTCCCTTCCCCTCTGTTTATGCTTGGTTTCTTAAATTCCACATATGAGTGAAATCATGTGGTATTTTTCTTTCTCCGACTGACATTTCACTTAGCGTAAGACACTGTAGTTCCATCCACATCATTGCAAATGGCAAGATTTCATTCTCTTTGATCACCAAGTAATATTCCATTGTATATATATACCACCTCTTTATTCATTCATCAGCTAATGGCATTTGGGCTCTTTTATAGTTTGGCTATTGTTGATAGTGCTGCTATAAACAATAGGGTACGTGTGCCCCTTCGAATCAGTAGTTTTGTATCCTTTATGTACACACTTAACAGTGCAATTGCGGGAGAGAGGGAAGATGGCGGCGTAGGAGGACGCTGGGCTCACCGCGCGTCCTGCTGATCACTTAGATTCCACCTACACCTGCCTAAATAACCCAGAAAACCACCAGAGGATTAGCAGAACGGAGTCGCCGGAGCCAAGCAGACGAGAGGCCCATGGAAGAGGGTAGGAAGGGCGGCAAGGCGGTGCGCGCTCCACGGACTGGCGGGAGGGAGCCGGGGCGGAGGGGCGGCTCACCGGCCAAGCAGAGCCCCCGAGTCTGGCTTGCAAAAACCGGAGGGGCCTGACGGACTGTGTTCCGACAGCAAGCGCGACTTAGCGGCTGGGAGGTCATAAGTTAACAGCTCTGCTCAGAAAGCGGGAAGGCTGGAGGACAAAGGGAAGAACAGCTGCTGAGCCCCCGGACGACAGAGCTCAGTTTGGTGGGGAACAAAGACGCTCGCCAGCGCCATCTTCCCCGCCCATCCCCCAGCCAAAATCCCAAAGAGAACCAGTTCCTGCCAGGGAACTTGCTTGCTCCGCGCAAACACCCAACTCTGCGCTTCTGCAGAGTCAAACCTCCGGCAGCGGATCTGACTCCCTCCTGCTGCCACAGGGCCCCTCCTGAAGTGGATCACCTAAGGAGAAGCAAGCTAAGCCTGCCCCTCCTGCCCCTGTGCACCTTGCCTACCCACCCCAGCTAAGACGCCAGATCCCCAGCATCACAAGCCTGGCAGTGTGCAAGTAGCCCAGACAGGCCACCCACCCCACAGTGAATCCCGCCCCTAGGAGAGGGGAAGAGAAGGCACACACCAGTCTGACTGTGGCCCCAGCGGTGGGCTGGGGGCAGACGTCAGGTCTGACTGCGGCTCCGCCCACCAACTCCAGTTATACACCGCATGACAGGGGAAGTGCCCTGCAGGTCCTCACCACGCCAGGGACTATCCAAAATTACCAAGCGGAAGAATTCCCCTCAGAAGAATCTCCAGGAAATAACAACAGCTAATGAGCTGATCAAAAAGGATTTAAATAATATAACAGAAAGTGAATTTAGAATAATAGTCATAAAATTAATCGCTGGGCTTGAAAACAGTATAGCTGACAGCAGAGAATCTCTTGCTACAGAGATCAAGGGACTAAGGAACAGTCACGAGGAGCTGAAAAACGCTTTAAACGAAATGCATGACAAAATGGAAACCACCATGGCTCGGATTGAAGAGGCAGAGGAGAGAATAGGTGAACTAGAAGATAAAGTTATGGAAAAAGAGGAAGCTGAGAAAAAGAGAGATAAAAAAATCCAGGAGTATGAGGGGAAAATTAGAGAACTAAGTGATACACTAAAAAGAAATAATATATGCATAATTGGTATCCCAGAGGAGGAAGAGAGAGGGAAAGGTGCTGAAGGGGTACTTGAAGAAATCATAGCTGAGAACTTCCCTGAACTGGGGAAGGAAAAAGGCATTGAAATCCAAGAGGCACAGAGAACTCCTTTCAGATGTAACTTGAATCGATCTTCTGCACGACATATCATAGTGAAACTGGCAAAATACAAGGATAAAGAGAAAATTCTGAAAGCAGCAAGGGGTAAACGTGCCCTCACATATAAAGGGAGACCTATAAGACTCGTGACTGATCTCTCTTTTGAAACTTGGCAGGCCAGAAAGAGTTGGCACGAGATTTTCAGTGTGCTAGACAGAAAAAATATGCAGCCGAGAATCCTTTATCCAGCAAGTCTGTCATTTAGAATAGAAGGAGAGATAAAGGTCTTCCCAAACAAACAAAAACTGAAGGAATTTGTCACCACTAAACCAGCCCTCCAAGAGATCCTAAGGGGGACCCTGTGAGACAAAGTACCAGAGACATCACTACAAGCATAAAACATACAGACATCACAATGACTCTAAGCCCATATCTTTCTATAATAACACTGAATGTAAATGGATTAAATGCGCCAACCAAAAGACATAGGGTATCAGAATGGATAAAAAAACAAGACCCATCTATTTGCTGTCTACAAGAGACTCATTTTAGACCTGAGGACACCTTTAGATTGAGAGTGAGGGGATGGAGAACTAGTTATCATGCTACTGGAAGCCAAAAGAAAGCTGGAGTAGCCATACTTCTATCAGACAAACTAGACTTTAAATTAAAGGCTGTAACAAGAGATGAAGAAGGACATTATATAATAGTGACAGGGTCTATCCATCAGGAAGAGCTAACAATTAGAAATGTCTATGCGCCGAATACCGGAGCGCCCAAATATATAAAACAATTACTCATAAACATAAGCAACCTTATTGAGAAGAATGTGGTAATTGCAGGGGACTTTAACACCCCACTTACAGAAATGGATAGATCATCTAGACACACGGTCAATAAAGAAACAAGGGCCCTGAATGAGACATTGGATCAGATGGACTTGACAGATAGATTTAGAACTCTGCATCCCAAAGCAACAGAATATACTTTCTTCTCGAGTGCACATGGAACATTCTCCAAGATAGATCATATACTGGGTCACAAAACAGCCCTTCATAAGTTTACAAGAATTGAAATCATACCATGCATACTTTCAGACCACAATGCTATGAAGCTTGAAATCAACCACAGAAAAAAGTCTGGAAAACCTCCCAAAGCATGGAGGTTAAAGAACACCCTACTAACGAATGAGTGGGTCAACCAGGCAATTCGAGAAGAAATTAAAAAATATATGGAAACAAACGAAAATGAAAATACAACAATCCAAACGCTTTGGGACGCAGCGAAGGCAGTCCTGAGAGGAAAATACATTGCAATCCAGGCCTATCTCAAGAAACAAGAAAAATCCCAAATACAAAATCTAACAGCACACCTAAAGGAAATAGAAGCAGAACAGCAAAGGCAGCCTAAACCCAGCAGAAGAAGAGAAATCATAAAGATCAGAGCAGAAATAAACAATATAGAATCTAAAAAAACTGTAGAGCAGATCAACGAAACCAAGAGTTGGTTTTTTGAAAAAATAAACAAAATTGACAAACCTCTAGCCAGGCTTCTCAAAAAGAAAAGAGAGATGACCCAAATAGATAAAAACATGAATGAAAATGGAATGATTACAACCAATCCCTCAGAGATACAAACAATTATCAGGGAATACTATGAAAAATTATATGCCAACAAATTGGAGTTTGGAAGAAATGGAAGAAATGGACAAATTCCTGAACACCCACACTCTTCCAAAACTCAATCAGGAGGAAATAGAAAGCTTGAACAGACCCATCACCAGCGAAGAAATTGAATCGGTTATCAAAAATCTCCCAACAAATAAGAGTCCAGGACCAGATGGCTTCCCAGGGGAGTTCTACCAGACGTTTCAAGCAGAGATAATACCTATCCTTCTCAAGCTATTCTAAGAAATAGAAAGGGAAGGAAAACTTCCAGACTCATTCTATGAAGCCAGTATTACTTTGATTCCTAAACCAGACAGAGACCCAATAAGAAAAGAGAACTACAGGCCAATATCCCTGATGAATATGGATGCAAAAATTCTCAATAAAATACTAGCAAATCGAATTCAATGGCATATAAAAAGAATTATTCACCATGATCAAGTGGGATTCATTCCTGGGATGCAGGGCTGGTTCAACATTCGCAAATCAATCAACGTGATATATCACATTAACAAAAAAAAAGAGAAGAACCATATGATCCTGTCAATCGATGCAGAAAAGGCCTTTGACAAAATCCAGCACCCTTTCTTAATAAAAACACTTGAGAAAGTCGGGATAGAAGGGACATACTTAAAGATCATAAAAGCCATTGATGAAAAGCCCACAGCTAACATCATCCTCAATGGGGAAAAACTGAGAGCTTTTTCCCTGAGATCAGGAACACGACAGGGATGCCCACTCTCACCGCTGTTGTTTAACATAGTGCTGGAAGTTCTAGCATCAGCAGTCAGACAACAAAAGGAAATCAAAGGCATCCAAATTGGCAAAGATGAAGTCAAGCTTTCACTTTTTGCAGATGACATGATATTATACATGGAAAATCCGATAGACTCCACCAAAAGTCTGCTAGAACTGATACATGAATTCAGCAAAGTTGCAGGATACAAAATCAATGTACAGAAATCAGTTGCATTCTTATACACTAACAATGAAGCAACAGAAAGACAAATAAAGAAACTGATCCCATTCACAATTGCACCAAGAAGCATAAAATACCTAGGAATAAATCTAACCAAAGATGTAAAGGATCTGTATGCTGAAAACTATAGAAAGTTTATGAAGGTAATTGAAGAAGATTTAAAGAAATGGAAAGACATTCCCTGCTCATGGATTGGAAGAATAAATATTGTCAAAATGTCAATACTACCCAAAGCTATCTACACATTCAATGCAATCCCAATCAAAATTGCACCAGCATTCTTCTCGAAACTAGAACAAGCAATCCTAAAATTCATATGGAACCACAAAAGGCCCCGAATAGCCAAAGTAATTTTGAAGAAGAAGACCAAAGCAGGAGGCATCACAATCCCAGACTTT